CTGAAATTGGACGTATTTCAAGTTTCTCTAAGGACTAGAATTATTGGTATCAAGATCAAGCCAAAAGGAAGAATAATTTTCAACCTTCTTGTCTAAATCTAGCAGAGGAAAATTTCAGAAACGAAACTTCCAGATTAGTACAAGAAGCTGAAGATGCTAAGAAGACTAAGCAAAATGTTGTAGTTGGATTCTCTTGTGAAACTACTTTTGTACGTTGAGAACGTGACATTAGTAAGTTTAGAGGAGATCAACAAGCTATGAAGGATGAACAACAAGTTGTCAGAGAAAGTTCTGCTAAACAGACACCTGCCAACAATCCTCGTCAGAGCATGCTTCTACAAATTCTGAAGAATTGTCACTCTCAAAGAAACAGGGGGAGATATAGAAGATGAAATCTGAGAAAAGATATCAACCTACCTTAATTGGTATCAACCTGTAAGAATTAAGTTCTCAAGGGGAGAAATGAAAGATGATTAAGTTCTCAGGTGCTATCTCTCAACTCTTATCTTTTTAATTTCTGACTTTAAAAAGAGAAATTTTTTTTAATCTGTTTTGATGAAAAACTCAAACTTTTTGATGATGTCAAAAAGGGGGAGAAATGAAAGATGATTTTGATATTATCTGGAAGAATAGAATATAACTTGGGGAGAAATGGAAAATGTTTTTGAGAAATAGAATATAACTTTGATATATTCTATAACCTGAAAGAGAATGCAAAAACATATAAACTGCGTTTATTACTAATTATCTGTTTGATGTTTTCCAAGGAACTCTGAACAAGTTCACTAGGCATTCTAAACAGGATAAATGAAAGAAATCTGAGTTCAAATGAACTGGTGTTCATATAATAGAAGTTATACACTTCGTGAACATAGATTCAGAATCAGATGGACCCAATACTGTTCAGAGATCTGAAAGTTAAAGTCATCTGGAATCATGATGTTCAGAAGATGTAAATTGTCTGTGAAAATGACAGTCAGAGCATAAGAATCAGAAATCTTCATAGAAGCAAGATTTGGATTTAGACACAGAATCATGAGTATCATGTATTGGTATCTGTCTTAGAATCAACATTGGTATCAGATTCATAAGTAAACATTCTACTAGTTTCTTTTGGTATCAGACTACTTCAAGAAATCAAGAATCTATCAAGAATCTGAGAAGAAAGCAAGTTTGAAAAAGCAGAATCAAGACTGTATCAAGATCAGAAGATCCAAATATCTGACATATTGTAATCAGGGGGAGTTCTCCCAGGAAGGTTCACAAGTCAGGATATTTGATTTTCACCCAGTATGAAACTCAGGGGGAGTTTCTCATCTGAAGGATGTTTTGAAGAATAAGAGAAAATGCTTTAGAAGATTCTGAAGTTATATGACCCTAATACAATGCTTAGAGAAGATAAGTTCTAAAGATCTGAAGATGGAAGTTCTGATTGAACTAGTCCAGATGCTGAAGACTCATGCTCTCTTATATTGTAGGGAAGTATTCCTTCTATTCTATTCTATTTGATTGTGTTTTATCAAATTTATATTTTGTAAGTCTTGGGATCAGAGTATGTCTCTGAACAAGCATAAAAATGTTTTTAAGATTAACACATTCAGGGGGAGCAGTTGCTTAGAACTCTGAATAGGTTAGTGCTTGGTGATTACCCTGTATAAAATGTTCTATCAAAATACATGTTTTTGTCATCATCAAAAAGGGGGAGATTGTAAGAGCAAGATTTGTCTCTACAGGATTATCTCTATGTTTTGATGATAACAATTGAGTATTTGTGAAAGAACCATTTTATGGTTTAATGTTTGTTTTGTGCAGGTCATATTAAATTAAATATATTAGACCAAACAAACAAAAGCAACGTGTGCAGCTAGTAATATATGGAATTACTATGTGTAACGTCATGAAGCGCTTGGGAGAAGCTAGTTTGCTTATGTATCTGATCACCATCAGTAAGGAACCAAGGATGCTGTATATTGCAGTTGCAATGCTCCTGTGGTTTATGATCTGAAGAAGTGCATCTGATCTAAAAGCAAATGAAGCTCAGTAAAGAAGCAAGTTTGTTTCTGCATCTGATCATGTTCAATAAAGAATCAAGGATGCTGGATATTGCAGTTGCAATGCATCTGTGGATTCTGATCTGAGTTGTGCATCTGATCTGGAAGCTAACGAGCGTCTCTGAAGAGTGAGCCCTCTAAAGAACTGAAGTGCTGAAGAATCTGATGACTTGAAGTTCTGAAGGCTGAAGGCTCTGAAGACCAAGTGCGTCAAGACTCTGAAGACATGTTCTGAAGGACAAAACTCTGAAGACATGTTCTGAAGGTCAAGACTCTGAAGATTCTGAAGACATGTTCTGAAGGTCAAGACTCTGAAGATATAATCATCTGAAGAAGTTTGTGCTGAAGACTCTGATGACTTGAAGTTCTGAAGGCTGAAGGCTCTGAAGACCAAGTGCAAAAGACTCTGAAGACCAGACTCTGAAGAAGAAAGATTATGAAGCTTCACCAGACAAGACGTGTTCAATCAGATGAGGTGTTGCTATCAACTCTGATGAACAAAGTGCTGAAGTCAGAATCTGATGTTTACTATGCTATCTATACCAAAGTAGTTTCTGAACTACTCATCTGTAACATCATCAGAAGAACCAAGCCAGAAGCATATTTGTCCAAGCTGTTAAATGAAATATTACCGTTGCAAGAAAAGGACAAGAAAGTGATGTCATCCAACACGTGCTTATCTATCCGTTGAAATATGACCGTTGGAAATAGAAAGGACTTTTCTATCCTCACAACGTCATTCTTGGAAGCACTATAAAGGCAGAATCATTTGATTATTCAAATGTTGCTTGGTGAGCTGAAGTGGTTACTAAGTGGCTGGAGCTGTTGCTCTGTTGCTACTGTTGCAAAGAGAAGAAAAGCTTAAATGAAAAGAAGCCTTAGTGCTCACACACAGAAAAGCTTTTAAGCAATATGGAAACTACTGTTCTTATAATCTCTTAGAGATTTATTATTAGATTAGTTTCTATATTAGAAAGCAAGGAGTTGTTGCTCAATACTTGCTAGGAACTTAATTAGGAGTAATCTGCTTATTTGAGAAGCACTTATGTAATCTCCGGCAACACAAGTTCTATTTTAGAATTAGTGGTTCCTCAAGTGATCTTGTGAAGATCAGTATACTTGAGATGACAAGTGACGGTAGTCATTTGTGGAAATCCTAATAGGAGATCTTTAGTGATCGGATTCTATTAAGGTGTCAATGAACGTTATATCCTTAGGGATCCCTGAACGTGTCATTGTCAAGTTGTTAGTCACTTGCAGTTAGCTTGTGCATCTGTAATCAGTTCGGTTATAGTGGATTAAGTCCTTATTTGATTAAGGCGAAATCACCTTGGAAGGGTGGACTGGATTAGCTTGAGAGTTGCTCAAGTGAACCAGGATATATGTTGTGTTCTTTACTTTCAGTATGCTTTGTTATTTATGCTTCCGCAATATATTTAATATAAGCGCATAAAAGCATCAAGTTAAGAAGAAGACAAGAAATCAAAAAGGTTTATAAGAAGGCATAAACCCAATTCAATCCCCCCTTTCTTGTGTTTATTTCACACCTTCACAACGCCCCATAATTTATTGATTATGATAATTTCAATTCCCACGACCAATTTTAATGTAGACCTCTCCAAATTGAGGAACCCTAAATCGAATTGGTAAAAAACCTAGCAAGAGAGGGAGGAAGAGGATGGAACGAATAAGATGAAATATCAAATCGCATACCAAAACAAGCGTCAATTTCAACTAAATGGGCGGAAATGTCTTCTGTGGCACTAATTGAACAATTAAAGGATCAACCCCAAGGACCAAAAATGGTATTTTTTTCAATAAAAAAGATATTGTTGCTATTGTTGGTTTTTATGAATCTAACAGCAATTATGACATCATTTTAGAAATATAACATGGGTTATTAAGATTGAAACTCACCCCAAGGAATCACAAACCCGTATAATTGTGGCCCAGCAAAAAAAAAGTGTAAGTTATTAAACGAAAGAAGAAGAAGAAGAAATAGTAAAGCAGACAGTTGAGAATGTAATTTCTTGTGTTGAAGCAGGTTGCTCGACATAAATAAGGTAATGTCGAAATAATCTAGTGTGTCTGAGTTGTGTAGTTGTCGAAGTGTCGAAGGAGTTAGTCTCGACACTATTTAGGTGTAATTTTGTAGAGTTAGTATAATTAGGTATTTTGGACTTTGTAATTTTGGGATTTGCTTAGGGAGCAAGCAATTCCAAAATCTATAAATAAAGAGTAACCTCTATTATTGTATAACAATCTTTGTCGTTGCAAAGAATAATATTCAGTTTTAAATACTAGAGAGAAACTCTGCAGAAATTCTTTTGTTTCATATTCGGGTCAAATCCTAGTTCCCTTTTCTTTCCAATTTAATTTTTCTTTCTTCTTCCATTAATAATTGCTACGCAGAATCATTCTTACAATCAAGATATGATTGATTCACTCGAGTGAATAATGAAAAACAAAAAAAAAATTTAATTAATTAATTAAATCTTATTCATCAAAATTAATTCAAAATTATACAAAATTGAATTAATTCAACATAAACATCACAATATATGTAGTTGGATTCCGTTACGAAAAATGACTATATTACAATTTGGTTGCATTAAGTTTAACAAAAGAAATGGTAGGCTATTGGTTGATTCACACGTCCAAAAAATCATTTGTTGAAGGTTCGACCTTTCTTGGTTATGGTTAATTTTTTTTTTAAAAATTAAAACGATGATAAAGAAAATTAATAGAGAGAGATAAGAAAACTGAGTTTTTTAAAAAGAGACCTGAAATAATTAAATAAAAAGAATAAAACTGGCTTAAAAAAATACTAAAGTACTAATTCATTCACACGTGCCACCGTGCGCCTACTAGTATAAAATTATTCAGTCCCTATTTTCTCAAAAAAAATTTGTTGACAAAACAAAAAGCTAAACAATTCGAGAAGAGTAAATGGCGACAACTTTGGCGAGATCTGGTTTTCTTCGCAACGTCCTACGACGAGGAGGCTCCGGCAGCTCCCCCGCTCCCAAACGAACCTTTTCTTCCTCTGCTCATCACGATGATGCATGTCAGTACTCTAATCCCCTTTTTCTCTCTCAGCTAGCCCTTTTTTAAAATTGTTTTAGGGTTTCGATTAATAGTTTTTCATCATTATTAAATTATTAAATATAATTCGCATTCTCAGGCGTCTCGTTTGTTAGGTAAATTTGCGTTTCGTTTTTTAATTTATGAATGTGAGAAATGTTATGTGGAGTTTTGAGATTGATCCGGTTTACTCTGATTTAGGTTTTTTTTTTCGTTTTTGAATTAAACGATTTGTGTTTGTAATTTTTGTCTGTTGAAATGGATTTGATCGTGATTCTGCTTGTTACAACTTAAAGAAGCAAAAAATGATGAATTATCCTGAAAAACGTGGCATAGTGCGTTTGAATGTTTATGCACGATGCTTATTATCCAGAAATGATGAGTTATATATATTTATATGTGAAATTGTATAATTGATGAATTATCCAAGAAAATGTCGCATAGCGTGTTTGTAATTTTCTCTGTTAAAATGTATTTGATTGTGATTCAGCCTGTTAAAAATTAGAAAAGAAAAATAAGACGAGTTATCTGAAAAAATGTCACAGAGCGTATTTGAATGTTTATTATCTAGAAATGATGAATTATAGATTTTTACTTAAAATATTATTATTGAGTCCATTAAGTTTGCATTTGAATATGTATTTGCATTGCCATGTATCATCACATGTTATACTTATTGTGGTACATATATGATATATCAATACTAATTTTGATCCATTATTTCAAATGACTTTTCTGTTTAATATATCATCATCTAGCTGTGCCAGGTTGAGATTAATTGATTTTATCTAGCTTACTTCCTTGTATTGCTTTTTGCATGCTTTCAATTTGAATACTATTTTTTTGTATCTGATTGTTTATCTTCTCCGTTGTATCAGACGAAACCGCCAAATGGGAGAAGATCACATATCTAGGCATTGTTTCATGCACCGCTTTAGCCGCCTATATTCTCTCAAAGGGTCACCACCACTATGATGCACCTCCTGTAAGCTTTCCTTTATATGGAATTTTATCTTATAATTCTTTTCTTTTCATGTTAGAATTCCAGTGTGAACATGCTGTGTTTCTCTTTTTTTCATCAACATTCTTAAGTTTTGAAAATCTGAATAGCTTATCAGGAATCAAGCCTTTGTTACAGGACTGTAACAGATAATTAATTAATATTAGTCTCAATGATGAGTACTCATGTGCATATGAATGACATGATTTTATGAAAAGTTTTGGATCTCTATTAAAACCACTCATGAAATTAACACCCCTCTATTTACTGAAAGAGCAAAAATAACGCAGGTCTTAAATCGAGGCATGTATCCCACAATTCATATTTGTCTATGTGAGAAGACATAAAATACAGAGAGAAGCAAGGGGGGTGTATGCACCAAAATAAATAAATAACTTATTATAGCTCATAAGTTACTCTATGATTGAAGTTCCTGATGTATGATCATTTCCCCACTTAAAATTTATCCTTCAGGCCATATTTTGTGTGACTTTTCACTATAAGTGCAATGAATTTCTATTTTGATGCAAACTTTAATTACCTGCTGGTTACTTTTCTTTAACTTTCATATAAGTCATCTTTTAAGATATCTATTTCCTTTGATTTTTTAAGTCAAAAGAATTCTAACTCTTTTATTTCTCTTGCAGGCATACCCATATTTGCATATCCGCAATAAGGAATTCCCATGGGGTATGTATCTTTGATGTTTTTCCTTGTGTTATTATATTTTCCTTCACCTGCATGAGGCTCCCTGAAAACATTTAGATTAGTGGAATGGATTAAAAAATTCCAGTTCCTTAATTGTTGCAGTCTTTTGATTCTTGTATTTTGCTACATTAATAATGTTACAGCATTCTTTGACATTTGTTAAACGAAGAGCACTCATATCTAGTTGGTTAGTATGATCAAGTTTGCATGCACTGCATATCATTTGTTTCTAATAGTTTGTTTGAACTAGGCTAGTTACAGTTAATATGATAAGTTTAATATTATGGTGGATCTTGTATTTGTTCCATTTCTTTATCCACAATTTAAGAAAACCGTTATTGCTTTTTTTGTTCACATCACACTTTCCAAGGCCTTCCTGCCTCTAGCTCAAGGATTTATGTGATCATGGCTTTTAATCTTTGAGGAATAAGCGGGTCTTCTTCTTGCTAATACCTATAATCTTCATGAATAAATTTTGATAGACAAATCTTTCTTAGAGACAACCCTCAACACAATAAATGAGTTTTCTGAGAGGTGACTAATGTAATGGTTAACACTCGATCAAATTTTTTACCATGCATTTTGTATTGGTTTTATCCGTGTGTATTATTAATCATCCTCTGAGGTTAATTGCCAAATGTTGGTTGTTTATACTTTTGTACATGTAAGTTTGTAGATTATTGTCATAGTAATTATTTGGGGTCTATTTTACATTGCCAGGACTGCTGCTAAGTTATCCCTCTATAATGTGTCTGCTTTTATTTTCAAATTATTTGGTTGACCTGAAATTCCAGTCTGTATGACATTGCTTTTTAATGATACACAGGTCCTGATGGGCTATTTGAACTCAAGGAAGAGGACCACTAGGAGTATTAGTGGTTTCATGAAGGTTGTTTGTGGGCAATGATGTCTGTAGCCTCAGAAAAAAAGTTATTATTCTAGTTTCGTATTGTTTATTGAATTGTGATCTAGAACTTCACATGGTATGGTGTTTTTCATGTTTGTCTTCTCTTCTCATGGTTGAAGTAAAATAAAATTTCCCAACAATATGGTGTTTCATTTCGAGTCTTGTCTAGTTGTTTCAATTTTGACAGAAAATGATTGGATATAGCAAGAAAAACTTCTAATATTTTATAACTGCCAGTGTTTTTCTGGAAGTTAGGAAATTATATATGACTAGGTTCCTTTCATCTCTAACTTGGATGATTGTGCCTGTTTGATTTAGATTTAAGTTTTTGAATTGGACTTACTTCTCCCATCCTAAGTGAAAAAACACCTTAAGAAAATTCGAAAATGTCCTGGAGAATCCTGAATGCATTTTCTGTCGCATATATTTCACATTAAATACATGGGTAAATGAGACAAATCTCTATTTTTACATGAAAATGGCCAGGAAGTACTTATATTAACCCTATGCGTATCTCATGCACTTTTAACTAAGACATTCATTTTGTCTTAAATCTATCAGGTTTGCTATTTTGACACTAAAACAAATACACTCAAGAGTTACACCGTGAATTGAAGTATATGCATGTGTTTGTTTGTGTCAAAATAAAGTAAAAGTAATAATAAAATATTAACAAAATACAAAACTGTATGATTATTAGGTGTAAGTGTCAAAGTTTAGTGTAAAAATAATATTACTCTAAATTTATTTGGAGATGCATCTCTTTTAACTAAAACATTCAAATTGATCTCCATTTGGAGATGCATCTCTTTAGTAGAGGGATGTATGATGCATCTCTTTAGCAGGTTACAAGGATGTATTAACATTACACAATATGCATTCCGAATTGAGATAGTCTCCAATTTTTTCTCTCCCCTCTCATGTGCAATAATGCCGTGTTGGATTAATCAAATAGTTAAAAGATAACAAAGAAAAAATATCATTTAAAGAGAGAAAAATATTTCATTTAAAATTTCATTCTTTTATTTTCTTCATTTACTATAAGAAGACTTTGTATGCTAAAAATAGCAGGTAAGTAATAATTTGATTGAAATGTTTGGGTAAATTAATAGTTCAACTAACTTATAAATGGAAAATGATATAAAACATATTTAATATATATTTATATTATTTTAAACTAAAATAATTTATAAAGAATAAAAGAGAGTTTTTTTTTTAAATAATAAGGATAAAAACGGAAGAACACTTGATAAGCTACAAATCAAAACGTTATTTGAAATAACGTTTGGATTAGCGACGGAAAAAATTTAAAAATTGGTTGTTAAATTCGTCCCTAATTAGAAAAAAAATGATACATTTTAAGAGTCAATGGATCAATCTAACATGAAAAAAATTAATGGACCAATTTGAATTTAAGAGTATAATTAAGAGACAAAAATGATATTTTACCAAAATTGTTTTAATATTTGTATGGTGTACTATTAAGTTATAAACAACATCAATTGAAATCAGTACCCTAATGAATATAATTCTAGTGACTAGAAAGTATCGAAGAAATCTATATTTTTTCTTTGCATAAAATCTTTGGCTACAAGGCGAACCTTGTACTTATCAACTGTTCCATCATGTTTTAGTGTCTTTTTCAAAAATCATTTACAATCAATTGGTTTGTAACTAGGAGGCAATTATACTAAGTGTTAGGTTGTGTTAGATTCTAGAGAATCTATCTTATCGTTAATAGTTTCTTGCCCCAAATCTACATCCAGATATGACAAGATTTCTTGAAGATTTTTTTGGATCTTCTTCTTTTTCTTATGTATAAGCCATATAATCAGGGTCATAGTCTTTAGCAACTCTAACTCTTTTACTTTGTCGAAGTTCTGTTTTTACTTCGTTGTTGCTTTTGGTGCTTCTTACCACAGGAATGTGATTCGATTTAGTGCCCCCACTATTTTTCGATTTAAAAGGAAATTTGTATTCCAAGAATTCAACATCATTTGATTATATGATAACTTTAACATTTAGGTCATAATACATATATGCCTTACTGTTTGCTTCATACCCAATGAATACACATGTATAGGCTCTACTAGCAAATTTAACCCAAGTTCTAAATTAGTAAGATAAGTTTGGTTGTCTTTTCTTCAATATCTCATAAGGAGAGATCTATTTTTAGACTTGAGAACTTTATTTAGGGCATAACAAACAATCAATAAAATGTCCCGCCACTAGTGAGACGTAACACCAAAATTGAACATAATAGCAATGAGTAGTTCATTAAGAAATATATTCTTTCTTTCCGCTTTACCATTCATTTCAAGAGAAAGTGGTGCAATCATTTCATGTACAATTCCATGTTATTTATATAGTTCATTAAATAAAATAGAACTATATTCAGTTCCCTTATCACTACGAAGTCTCTTAATCTTCTTAATAAATTGATTTTCAATTTCATTTACATGACTTTTAAACATATCAATTTCATTTACAAAAATATTATTCTTAGTGGTTGTGTAAAAATCTACCCTAATAGACTGACTAAACCCTTCCTTATTCAGAAGGAAAAACTAGAAACAAGTTTCTTTATAATATCACGGCTATGCAAGACATAAAAGTCTTTCCTGAGGTGGACTTCAACTCCACTTATCCAATACCGGTAAGATTAGTGGTATGAGAAACTCCAAAGAGAAATTTAAATACTTTTTCAAAGAGAATCTAAAAATTAATAATTTATAATTTCTCAACTCAAATTAATAGAAATTAAAATAATTCTCTAAAGAGAATTCAAGAAAAAACTCAAAAAAATTTAACAAGTAGAAAGAAAGAGGGAGAAGTTGGCGCTTCAAAAATTCAAAAGACAACAAAGTTATAAGAGGGAAAAAGGAAAAACTCAAAAGAAATTTTTGGCGTGTTTTGGAATAAAACAAGTGATTTCCTTATATAATAAAGTAAGAAATCAAAGATCAAACTAGCTGTCATGTTCGCCTTGAGTTCACCTAGCAAGACCTAGCGAACTTTCGCTCCAGGTTCGCCCAACGAACTCAAGGCGAACCCTGCGAATTTTTAAAATTCTAGGTTCTTCCTATTCAACAAAAATACAACCACAAAGTAATTTTTTATCATTCAATCATTGCTATTTATAGTACAAAATGAGTATCAATTAACAACACCAACCAAGCCACATTTTTTCAAGCAAAGGTTCAAAGTTCATAAGCTTCATTCAAATCAATTCAACTTTAACCTAAGCAAGTTCAACTCTCAAAATTTTAAAGTTCAATACCTAACATGCAAAGCAATGTAAACTAATAATCAAGAACATGCAAACAAATTCACAAAGCCTAGAAGAAAGTTTCTAACATTTACTCAAATCAACCCTAACAATATTTTTCTAAAAAGAACAAGCAATAAATAAAGAAATCTCAAACCTAAATTGTGTTGAAAGGATAGAATGAAACTTGTATTAAAACTTGGAAACAAACTTCACTCGCACGGAAGAAATGGAGAGAGCAGAGAAATGTGTGTTGGATGTTTTTGTGGAAAGTAAAGAGACAAGAGGGAAAAGGGAAGGACACAAAGGGGAATATGGGAAAGTTTACCCAACAAAATCTGAAAAGAGGGTCTTGGGTCCATGCAGCTTAGGCTTACCATATAATAACATTTAAGTGATGTGGCAGAAAAACTTTTATTTTTCTCTGTCTCGCTCAATTTGCCTAGCGAACTTCCAGCGAACATTCGCCCCAGGTTCGCCTAGCAAACTCAAGGCGAATGAGACAGATTTTTGAAATTTTTTTTTCTTTTCATCTCATTCTACCATAACATTTTCATACTATATTACCCTACAAAAGCATAAAAAATGAAAGGGTACATACAATGTTGGGGTGCCTCCCAACTAGCGCTTTGTTTAATATCATTTGAGGTTGACCGTCTGGAGGTTTGGAACCTCAAAACTAAAAGCGTTTGAATTAGCTTCTGAGAAGAACACTCTACCACCAAAGACCTCAACCGTTATCATGGCCTGTTCTTGGTCCACTTTTTCTTAAGAAAGAAAAGTCCCAACATAACTTCATCAAAGCCTCCTTGGTCTTTTCATCCTTCTTTTTACACACCTCTTCATGATTGACTCTTTCTTCCTTCTTTTTCGTTGATGTAACCTTTGTGTCTTCGTTTTTATTTTTCTTTGCCACAATTCTTGCATCATTTTTTTTTACTTGAAAATTTTCCTCCAATTGACTCAAATACACCACCCCTTTGAAAAGTGTGAAACACACGTCCTCATCATTTGTCCTCACGTTCATTATACCTTCATCAACATTGATTAACATCCTAGCGGTCTTGATGAAGGGTCTTCCAAGGTTTATTGGTGTATCCTCATCCTCTTCGATGTCCATGACTATGAAAGCAACCGAAAATAAAAATTTGTCGACTTCCAATAACACGTCTTCAACAACTCCATGAGGACGAGTCCTAGACTTGTCCCCAAGTTGTAAAGTCATGTTGGTTGAATTCATCTCCATGTTCTTGATTATTTTGACCACAGATAAAGGAATCAAATTAGTACTAGCTCCCATATCGACCAAAGCTTTGCATTTGAAATCACTACCTATAGTTATAAGTAGAGCCACTCTTCCAGGATCTCCTTCTTTTCACGGAAGAATGCTTTGGACAATAGCACTACAATTAGCATTAATCTCAATGGTTTCCTTATTCGTGTACCTCTTTTTTTTCTTAAGTATATCTTTCAAAAACTTTGCATACTTAGGCATTTTCTATAGAGCCTCAGAGAATGGAATGGTTATTTGCAACCGACTAAATATATCCAAGAATCTCGTATAATGCTTTTCATTTTCTTTTTTTGTAGGAGCAATAGAGTATGGTAACTTTTCTATAGAACTTCTCCCCCATACTCCTTTCCTTTTTCACTTTTTTCAACTTCTCCTCTTTCAACTTCTTTTCTACATCC